TTTTTTTTTTTTTTTTTTTTTTACAATTTGGATCAGCTTTTTGTACTATTATTATTAACGTTTGAGTATGATATTGAACTAGTACAACATTTGTGTATTACACGAATGCTTGTTAAATTTTTTTTTCTTAAAATTAATGATAAAAATTAGTTGAAAATTTAAACACTTTATATATATATTTTTTATTTTAGAATGATATTTGTTACTTGTGCGACTTACATGTGTTATATTATAATATTTTTTTTATTTATAACATATAACTACATTAAATATGATATATTAATTGAGAAACATTTTTTTTTTAAAAACAACTAATTTTACCAAACATTTTTTTTATAAACCGCTAACACGATCAGCTGGTCAAAACAGCTAACACAATCCGCTGGTCAAAACAGCTAATTCAATCCGCTAACAGCTGATTACCAAACAAGGCCTTTGTGACCCTTCTTACTCTCTTTATTATAATAAAGAGATATCTCACTTAAAGAGTCTAGTGTGAGATATATTCTGCAGGTCCATTTACAGTGGGTTGGAGGTCTTTTACATACCACACAATCTTCAAAACCCACCTAAATCTTTCAAAAAAATTATATCATTCTGCAACATTACAAATCCGAATTTTATTTTATCGACAATCTTGATTTAATTGGATTTTATTCGAAATTCATATACTTATTAAAATCATAAAAAATATACTTTTTATTAAATAAAAATAAATACCTTTTTGAAAAAATAATAATACTCACGTGTAAGGAAAATGCCAACTATATTTTCAATTTTTACAATATTTGGATTTTTTTTTAAATTAATTTGAATTGTGCTGCTTGAAACATGTAATATTTTTTTTTTAAAAAAAAAAAAAATTCAAATTATGTATGTCAATTACACAACATCATAAAAATTCAAATACTTAACACAAACAAGTAAATTCATAATAAAAGTTTTATAGCCTAATTGAAATTATACCCTGTTCAAAACCCGAAATTCATATACTTATTAAATATTATCCAAAAATACACTTTAAGTCAAATAAAAATCGACAGCCTTTTTTTGGCATCCTCAACATGATCCAGACATTCAAGCTATAGTATCAAATCATGGTTCTCATCTCAAATGGAAATACAAAACGAAATAAAGTAGTGCAATTCAAGTTCAATTTGACAATTTGATTTCATTTTAATTATTCATATATGTATATGTAGATGAGATCGATAAAATTTTACATTTATTTCATAACCTACTTATAAACTATCTTATTTCATTCTATTATATAATAAAATGACTGTCTTTTTTATTTTAGTTTACTTGTAGGCAGACGGTCACTTAGAATAGCATAGAATAATTGAGGTCTTTAGACATTTTTTCAAGAATAGTTTAGAAAATTTTAGGTGGTTTTTTTCATAAATAATATAGAATATTTTAGTGATTTTTGCACAACATATATACTATTTTATATTTTTAATATTTTGGATAAGATTGTTTTATATGTTTTACGTAAAAATAAGGAAAAATTGGAGATTTAGTCCTGTAAGTGGCATCAATTTTAGGTTTGGTCCTCTAAGTGGACAACTTTTATAAAACGTCCTGTAAGTGCAAAAAGACCTGACATTTCGTCCTGTTACCGGCTAAAACGGGTAAATTTTACCTGCTAGCCTACGTGGAATTTTTAGATGATTTTTTTTTGATGATTTGTAATGCTGACGTGGCAGATATGTGGAAGTGCAAAAAGACCTGACATTTCGTCCTGTTACCGGCTAAAACGGGTAAATTTTACCTGCTAGCCTACATGGGGGTTCGAACCCGGGGTAAAAGGCACTCAAATGACCACACTAGCCACTTGACCTAACAAAACATTAGTTACATATTTGACTTCATTTTTATATCAATCAAAATGTTTTATCCAAAGATATTTAAATAAATAAATTTATTTATATATTACATATATTACAAAATAAATTATATTTATTAAATATATTTATTATATTTATTTATTATATTACTTATTAAATATATATTAAATATATTTTATTATATTTATTTATTGTACTATTAAATATATTTATTTTAACATACATAAATATATCAAATAATTTAATAAATAAATATATTTAATAAAGTATTTAATATATTTATTTAAATATTAAATATATAATATTTTATATAACATATTAAAGAATTT